AGTATGCAATTCAGTGGCATTTATTACCCTCAAAATCTTGTGCTATCATAGCCACTATCTATTTTTAAAACTTTTTTTCCCTCCCCAAATAGGAACTCTGTAATCATTAAGAGATAACTCTGTGTTACTCCCATCCTTAGGCCACTAAATATACTTTCTATCTATACATTTATCTAATGTAGATAGTTCATATTAGTGGAGTTTTACCATATTTATCCCCTTGTGTCTGGCTTGTTTCACCTTGTATATTATTTTCAATGTTCATCCATGTCCCAGCATGAATTGCAGCTTTCCTTTTATGACTGAATAGTACCCCATTGTGCAGTACATACTGCATTTTGTTTATCTACTCATCTGTTGATAGATAAAGGTTTTATCCACATTTGGGCTACTGTGAATAGTGTCACAATGAACACTGGTCTACAAGTATCTGTCTGAATTCCTGTTTTCAATTACTTTAGCTGTGTACCTAAGAATGGAATTGCTGAGTCAAGTGGTAATTCTATATTTAGTGTTTTCAGGAATTTCCAGGCTGTTTTCCACAGTAACTCACCACTGCACATTCCCACCAGCAGTACACAGAGGTTCTGCTCTCTCTGCCTTTTGCTGATACTTATTTCCATTTTTTAAAGTGTAGCCATTCTAACAGACATGAAATGGTATCTCATTGTGGTTTGGGTTTGCTTTTCCCTGATAACTAATGATGTCCAACATCATTCTTGGGGCCTGTTGGCTATTTAAGACAGTGTCTCACTAAGTTGCTAAGTTGCCCAAGCTGGGCTCAAACTTGCCATCCTCCTGCCTCAGTCTCCTAGGATGCTGGTTTATTTGCCTTCTCTGTTGGTGAGTTGTAGTTCGTTACATATTCTGGTCATAAACCCCTTCCCAGAGATATATGACTTGAAATATGTCTTCCCATTCTGATGGTTGACTTCTTATTTTCCTAAAAATATGCTTTGATGTACAAAAGTTTTTAATATTAATGAAGTATGGTTTATCCATTTTTCTTGTTGCTGTTGCTTGTACTTTTAAGGTCATACCTGAGAATCCACTGCAAAACCCACTCACTTTATTTTACTTTCAACAAAATATTTATTGACTGCTTACTCTAAGCTGGTAATGTGCCAGGCACTGAAGAAAAATAGGAAAGATAGGAAAACTCCTGCCCACATGAAGCATCCACCCTTGTAAAGCGAGAAGAAAATAAGTAAGTTTGGTAACACTAGATATTAGCAAGTTCTGCGATAAAAAGAAAATAAATGTAAAGCTAATAACAGTAAAAGAAGAATATAATCAGAGTGATGAGGGAAAGCAAAAGGAACTTAAATGTTCAGGAAGGCCCTGTCCAAGAAGTTGATATTTTGATTGTCAGCTGAATGGCTCAAGAGACCAGCTGGCTAAGAATATAGGAGAAGATCCAATGTCATTTACTGGAAAACCACACATCTGAATCTAGCTCAGGTGACCCCGATGGCAGAGTCCGGATTGGCACCCAGATCTCCCAGCTGACTTTTGAAACCAGCTGTGTTATGTCCTTGAAGATTAATCAACAAAGTGGAATGACTTAATACTTTAACACTAGTAGGAGGAAAGGTGGAAGAAAAAAGAGGGATGTGATTCACATTTTTTATGTATCAAATGTATGGAATCTTTGGCAGCCATGAGGGGGTAATCAAATGACATATTAACTTGACCAATATTTTGACAAGCTGCCTTGGAATGTAGGCTCCCAGAATTACTCAAGATCAATAAACAACGTTTCTAGTTCCTCACAGGGGAAGGCGGCAGGCACTCTGATCAGTATCCTGGAAAGGAATGTAACATGTACATTCCATTCTCCAGACCCAGGACTAGCTACAGTGGGATTTCTGGGTGGTAAAGGAGAAACAGGATGTAAATACTTGGTCTTTGGTGGACTCCCTGATAAATATGAGAATGACAAATTGTCTTCCGCAGTCCCTAGTGTCGGATGGCAAAACACGATGGCGGCCCAGGGTGCAAGTCACATTCCACATTTGCAAGATGATGGGGAACCAAGCTCAGTTCCCAGAGTCCTTCTGGACCCCAGAACAAAGTGTCCTCCTTGGGAAAGCAGCACCCGAAAGCAAACACACCCGCCACGCTCTGCGTTCTCCATTCTCCCACAGAACGGTAGTTTCATGTCTCAGCACAATCTCAGCTTTTAACAAAGAGTAAGAGAAGACTCTTCTCTAGGGAGGCAAGTTTATTTCTGATTCTTCGGGAATTAGCCTTATTTGGCAATTTTTTTCTCACTTTTTCAGCAAAAAAGAAATGTCTCTCTGGGGCTTTGAAAAGTCTTAATCACATAAGAACTCCATCATCCCTTCCTCTCCCAAGCAAGGAGTTTAAAATCTCAAATTCATTTCTCCAGCCCTGAATGCCAGTAGTGTTTGTTCCAATCAGAGCATTTTCCACAGTCAGCCTCCTATTTCTGTGGAGGTTTTATTCTGTTTTGTTCAAGGTATTTTATGATCCCTCAGCAATTCCATATCTCTGAATATGAAGGCCATGTCTTTCTCCATTTTTCCTGTATCATAGCACCCATAATGCCTGCCCAGAGGGCTTTGAATCAATTTTTTTATGGCAGAAGCGTTTGGTGAATTTTGAACGTGGGGTCATATTGTGCAGGTACTTTTGCAAAGTTTGCTGTTGCTGTTGTTGGTTGGTGCCTCACTATGATAAAGTTAGCACGATAACCAATACTTTGATAAATGTACTACTAGGTAGAAAGCATTGAAAAGACGATGTAATATTGCCACCTTACAAATTCTAATTGAACCATTTTGTAAGGAGATAAATAAAACAATTTTCTTTTTATTTTATCATTGGGAAATTGATATAACAAATGTCACAATTTGTTGAGTGTCTAAGTATCTACCAGACACAAATGAAGGCTTGATAGCATCACTACAAAAGTGCTTTTAAAAAGATCATAGGTAAAAGTATATATATATATGTATATGTATATGCAGATATAATGCAATATATATAATGCAGGGATAGCTTTAAGTAACATATTTGTACATGTGTGGTAGCACTATAAATTATTTTAAGTATATATGGCAATATACTTTAAGAGGAATGAAAACACTTACTCACTTTGACTTGCTTTTGTATCTCAGGGGTATCAATCTTAAGGAAACAATAGATTAAAAGCAATTCTTTTCTAATACAGTTAAGTTTTTTATATTTTGTACAAAAATTAAAAGCCATATACTTGTTGGACATTCAGTGGTTTCACATCTACATTACAATTTAAGCAGTTGATATATCAAGCCTGGCTTAAGTCTTGTGACTAGAATATGTAGCAGCAGAATGTATGATACATTTTGATTATAGTTTAAAAATACCAATGTCCACAATTTGAAATAGGTAAGATATGAATGGATATAAACAAAAACAGATTTAGCTATTGTGCTGGGGTAACTATGTTAAAAAAGCTTGTGGCAATGTAAAGATTAAAGAAAAAGTTTCCCAAGCCACTTTGTTCATTCAAGATATAAGAAATAAATAAGAAATGACATTGGGGAAAGAGTCAAAGAGCTAAGAGAGGGAGGTCTCATTTGTGGGGCACCCATTTTTCTTGGTTGTCTAATCTAGACTGAGGCTGTGTGGCTGTGACTTCTAACAGCAAAGAGAAGATCAAATGGATTTTTGAAGAATGGAAACTGCTACCCTAGGAAGGAAGGAAGATAGTGATCACATGCATAAAAACTGATCTCTTCCTTCAGGCTTTGTGAAAACAGTTTTCTAGTCTGAAGTTTCACTAGAGTAATTTTCTATAACTTGAATTTTATTAGAGAATTGGAGGGATGCCATTTGATCAACAACAGTCCAGAGTTCTAAAATGGAAGATAGCTATTTAAGTCTCTTTGGGCAACCAGAGAAGTAACATAATCCTTTTAAAGAAAGTGACTGTCTCTAAGAAGCCTGTGTTGATTATTACATTGATAAGCATTTATGAGTGAGTGCTGATACTAATATGATGAATGTTTTTGTGTCAAATAACTCCACCTCCTATATTGATGGTTTTACTGTGAGTCTGGTAGTACAGGAGCCAAATGCATCTTGGTTTCAGAGAAGCATTTGATAACATTTCCTCGATTGCCATGTGTGCAGGATTGTGACATGGGAACTGGATGGCAGGGCTGCTGGTCATGGTCATAAATGACTGAAGAGCTCTATCCAGCTAGGGCTGATTAATGACTTCTTGTCAGCTTGGTGGGAGGTCTGTAGCAGAATGACATGGGGATCATTGCCTGGCCTTGTTCTGTTTGTCACTTTTTATCAGTTCCTTGGGTTGAAAGTATGCTTATCATATTTTCAGCTGCCATGAAGTAGGGAGAGATTGTTAATGCATAGATGACAGAACTAAGACACAATGAGATCAACAGGAGGAAATAAAGGTCTGAAAACTAGAAAGTAGATTTCCATTGGGAACAAAGGTAGTTTTACTTTGGAGGCTAACAGTGAGTTCAATAATTTTAATAAGGGAGACATGAGAGTTTTTTTAAGAAACAGGAAAAAGAGATAAGATTTCTAATCCATTTCCAGGATAAATATGGATTTTTGGAATGATGAGAACCCTTAAATTAAAAACCAGAGTGTGTGTTTCATGGGCTTTGACAACAGTCCTACCTCCCTTTGTCTCTGAGTACATCTGGAGTACTGTCTAGGTTGGAATCCCACATTTTAGAGGTTCATGACAATGCTGGAGATAAATCAGAGGAGGATCTCCTCAACTGTGAAAGAGAAAAGAAAACCAACACGTCCTCGACGTTTGTTCTGTACCTGAAACTATGCTATGCTGGACACTTGATACTTGTACTCATAGATCCAATGGCATGCACACTGCATCGATCAATTCGAGACTCAGAATTTAAGGAACTTGCCTAAAGATTAATGGCTAGCACAGGGCCAGACAGATTTGGGTCCAGGACTGTAAGTTGCCTACATCCAAGCTCTACCTTCTCTTCCAGAGAATCCATCCAAATGCACCATGGACACAAGCACTGTCTCCATGTATCTCAGACATCTTCACATTATTATATAAAAGAGGAAACAGACTACATATTTGCTCCAGATGAAATTCAGAGGGCAACCCATTTCTGCTTCATTTAAGAAAGAAGTTGTTATGAGTTCAAGTTATCCAACAGGATGAAGGTCTTTTCACGTACATTTTGTGTTTTCTTTTATGGAATTTTGAAGCAGAGAATAGAAGGTCATCTATCTTGGGTATGTGGAAAAGATTCTTTACTCTTTCTTATCTTGAAAAAGGTTTAAATTAAAGACCTGTACCATCCCTTAAAAGAGTAAAAAAACAAAAAATATGAGGCTACAAGCCAAGCCCACAAGGAACTCAACAGTGTTAGGAAAAGGCTCAGCTGGCAACTTCCCTGCTTTTGTATGTTCCTGCTGTTCAATCCCACGTAGCATTCCAGATTGCTGGGGTTTAGTTTCCAGCGGCAGAACTTGCTAACCTTGTGACTGTAGATCAGTTGCCAGAACTCTCCAGCATCAGTTTTCCCACATGCAAAGTGGGGGTGAGAATGGTGTTTCTTCAAGTGGCTGTGCAAACATTAAATGAAGCATTCATTTAAAAAATACTAAGCACCATTCAGAGACTACAGCAAAATCACAATAAACGTTGACGATGGATAGTAATAAGGTTGTGACTATAGTCATGACAAACCGAGTGACCAGAGATGTTTGTCATAGGCTTACATTTTCTTTCTCTTCTTTTTATTAATGTATTAAGCTATAATTTCAGGGTATTCTGTAGGAGTTTGAGCCTTGGTGGAGCAGGGTTCCTGAGATACTGCCCTTCCTACTACATCAGAGCACTGCTTACCGGGAATCTGGTCACAGCGTGAGTGGTTCCAGTGGAAGAGGACACAGGTATTGAATTCCACTTAATTTCAACTGATTCTGGATACGAAGCAAAGACCAAGAATTCCTTTCTTGGGCACTTTTTGACTTTTTGCTAATTGTACTCCTTAAGCGCCTTTTAAAGATCTCGGACAGCTATACATGAGGTGTGCTAATTTTAACACATCACATTCAAATAGTTTGGAAGTATGTAAAACCCAAAACTAGAAATTCTCCATCATCCATGTACTGACTCCCCCTCCCTGATGTACCTACAGATATCAACACATTTCCAAAAGGAGACTTTGTTGAGAACTCATGGGTAACCTTGCCAATGTTTTTATTTCTAGTCCAACCACAGAAAATACTGCTATTTCATTTACAAACTCAATAATTACGTGAGATGTTGCTATTTTATGTAAGATGGAGATAAAGATCTGATGAAAAGATCAGAGTGGACATTCTCAAACTTTGACTTTGTTATCTAAATTAGTTGGTTCTTATCCTAATACCAGGCTGTAGAAACCAGCCTTCTGAATTATGACCTAAAGAATCATGAAATGATTATAAAATCAAAATTGAATTCATTAGTATTAACCATTAAAGCTTTCATACTTAAAATAAATCAGCTTATGAAGCTCTGTAAAAAAAAATACATAACCAAAACCTTTGCCAATCCAAGAATGTGTCATAGTTATTTACTTTAAGTTTTTAAGGAAGCAATTTAGATATTTTGATACTTTGTGTGTGGAAGAAAATGATTTGATCGATACTCAATTTGTAGCTAGTTTAGTCTTTTCCTACCATCAACGCGTGGTGGAAGTTCAAAGCACTGCAATCTGGGGGAAGAAATGTTTGTCTTTTTTCCATAATGCTTCCATTTTGGGGAGTTGTTTATATAATAATAAGAATCAGACACTTTTTTGCAAGTTTGGCAAGTGGCTACCAGTTTGAGATCCATTCTGATTTGATTAATTGGACCACAGAGAAGACACCACAGGGAAAGGACTGACTGGATATTTCTGTTTTTTGGAAGCTAAACATTTGGGTTTTACTGCATTTTTGTGCCAGTCTACACGAGACCACAGTGTTACATGTTTTAAAATCCACTGTTGCATTTAGAACATTTTATGTTTTAATTTGCAATGCCTTTCCTTCCTGATGTGTAACTGATTTTGAATTTGGAGCTTATAGTACATGCAATGTGCAAACCTAGGTTGACATGACAATGACAGGTCCTGGGTATGGTCATCGGCCTTCCCATATGTCACAGGGTGACATGTGGTCAGGTTATACAGACCGGAGTTTCCCAGGCAACTGAGTCCTGCTCACTGGGGATTCCTTGGGAAGTTGAAAAAAGATGTTGAAGATGAGCAGGCTGGAGCCACCATGTCTCCCAGTCACTGTTTGCTTTCTTTTGTCTTCTTCCCTCTATTCCCTGCCATGCTGACCCCAAGCTCTGAGGTGGGAAATGCATTCCATTTCTGACACTCCAAAAGGTTCTTGGGGATACACAGAATTCTTAAAACTGTTCATAGCTTAATGTTTTAAACAATATACTCACATTAGCTAAGAACGTTTTAGTTTGTTAGGAAAGAGAATAAGTCACATAAATATAATTAAGGGCCCAATTGCTACACAGAGTTGGCCAAAAAGGACACACACACACACACACACACACGCACGGAGATTGGCACACAAACAATTGGACTTGGTTTCCAAAAGATCTATAATTCTGGTTTTACTACCTATTTTTCTTATTCCTTAACAGCAACAATAGAAATGATACTTACCACTTTGTTTTCGTCAAATGCACAAAATTTGTAGCTACTTTTATAACTAATATTCCTGGAATATTTTTTTCAACAAGAAGGAAGAGTTATTATTAATTAGCTGGAGTGAGAGACATAAAACTGCTTCCTTGGTTGTGGTAAGAGAGCTTAGTCTGGTGTGGGATAAGACTTTTTCCTTAATCTCAACTTCATCATTAGTCATATAACCTTGGGTAAGAGGCCTTGGGATATCTGATGTTTAAGTACCTCAGTTTCTTTCTCTGTAAAATAGGTGTAACAGAATAGGATTGTTTCAAGAATTTAATAGCTAATATGCATGAAACTGTGTAACGTGATTCTTGACACAAAGTAAGACCTAATTAATTCTAGCCATTGTGTAGCCTTCTCATACCAGGTTTTTAAGATGTTGTAATTGTACACCATTATCTTGTTTCACAATGACTAAAATGTGAAGAGAAGTGGGTTTCAGGATGATAGTACATAATATCTCTAGAGAAAAGCTTCTGAAGTCCTTATAAACAGGCTCTGGAAATGCATCATTCTTTAGGATTTTTGCTTTGTTCTTTATGAGATTTCAGACAATGTCGCTGGTCCTCAGTTTTTTGGAAGGCAAAGCCAATTCATGGTTGTTGGCTGGAGACCCCTTTGGAATTAATCCTGAAATCATTTTCTGCCATTTATGGCCTGCTTCTTGCATGCTCTCAGACAGCCAGCAAAGGGAAAGTGAAATCCCCTGAATTAATCCTAAGAATGTACTTACTTCTATCAAAAGGTGCAGTAGTGCCATTAATCATTTTTAAAGTTTGCTTTCTAGTAATAACCTTGGCTATTGTTTTCATATTTTCAGCCATTAACTGGATAGAACACCCAATAAAACACAATGACAACTGGTCTGAATTTCTCCCATGACTTCTTTCTTCATCCATGCAGGTCTCGCATGCTAATTACAATGAATGTTTCTATAAAAACAAGGCTACTTGAGCTGATGTACCCAGGTGTCTGCAGTGACAGGTCCCTTCTTACTTCTGCTGGTTGCACATCTAGGTCACTTCCAATCTTCTAGAAACATTCATTTTTTCAGTCATTGTGTTGCCTCTTGGAACTCCCAATATTTATCATTTCATTTTATTGCAAAAGTGCATAAAGGATGATAGTTCTTGAGAAAGATGAGGTTTCCAAAGTAATACAGACTACAGAAAATAATGAGGTTATGTAGAATGAGAAAGGTCAGATGTGATGGTTGGCATAATCCATCCTGATATGTGGACTGCAAGGCAATACAGGCTTATTTTTACTTCTCTCGAAAATAAAACAAGACAGAGAACACCAGAACTGTCATTTAAAAAAAATTTGCTATACTTAAACCTTACATCACTGTTTCTCACTTCCTCAGTGAGACAGAACCTCACTGGATGAAGAAGTTTACTGGATGAAATACAAATCACAAACATACTGCCTCCCTTCCATACTCCCTCCCTTCATGCAACTACTATGAAATAGATTTTAGAAAAATGTGGAAAGGGCATTGATATTATGCATTCAACCAATTATACATTTGTTTAATGTTTATTAAATGAATAAATATTAAGAACTTTGCACTGGGTAATGATTGGTAAGTTTCTGAGTATTTGCCCTGTGACAAATGTTGTGTCATTTACAATACATATATGAGATATGAACCACTTTCTTCCCACTTTAGAGATGAGGGAACTGAGGCTTAGAAGGATAAGAAACTTCTTCACATGACAGAGCCAGAGTTTGAACACAAAACAGTCTGCTTAATTCTTATTTTTATCATTCTTTTCCCTTCCTTTCTACTTTCTTCTTCATGTTATTCTACAAACTTTTATTGAGCTGCTGCTGCGTGAGTCAGACAGAGTCCTTCCTGGCTGGATCCTGAGTCTCTCCATCTTCTCATTCTTGCCTCTCTTTGTAGGCTTTATCCCTGACCCTTAGACATATAAATCAGGTCATAGTTTTGCATCTTCAGCCCCAACTTTTTCTGCAAAATCTTCCCGAGGCTCACACCCATTTTAGGGTGTAAATCAAGAATGGTCCCCTAAGGTCAGTAGGGCCTGTGGAAGGTGATGGAAGTATGGAGACACAATAGCTTTTAGAAGGTGGGCGTGTGACATGGAAAGGTGTATCTTCCTCCTAGCGCCTCTCTTTGCTCTCTGCCTCCTGGCCACCATGATGTGAGCAGCTTTCCTCTGCCCAGGCCCTTCAACCATAGCATTCCTCCCTTGGAACTGGCTGACCATGCAAGGACTGAGCCCTCTGAAACCGTGAGCCTCCCTTAAGCTGTATGTCTCAGGTATTGTGTCCTAGCAAAGAGAAAATGACTAAGATAACTGATCAGTCTCAAGGGAAACTAAAAACCAACATTTTAAAAGCTTAAATCTTTGTGCTCAATCACCTACCCTACCCCATACCTGCTGCTTTTCAGAGATGTTGCCTCACTGAATAATACCTCATTCTGCTATCTATGAAAGCCAGAAACAGAACTTATCCTTGACACCCTGGTCTCCCCGGTCTCTGGACTTTTGATAGACTCCACCAACATTCCCTCCATGTCTCTACATCTCCACCTTCCCCATCCTGGTCTCCGGCTTCAGTCTCTGACCTGGACAAACTACAGTGCACTCCCAGGTGTATTCTCCATCCTTGTAACATTCCAATCCACTCCCCAGCCATCAACAAGAATGGGATTTCTTCAAATGCCAGTCTTCTTAGATTGTTCCTGCCCCTGCCTTTAAGCACTTCAGTGGATGCCCATGGTTCTTGTAATAAACAAAGACCAAAATGTTTAACATGGCTCCACATATCTATTACTTATCTTATTTTATAATTCTGTGTGCTTTGACTCTGACCTTCTGTCACCCTGATCTTGGCCAATTCTTTGAGTTGCCTCCATTCAGATGCAGGACTTTGGCACGTGCTCTTTTCTTTGTCTGAAAAGCCACCTGTCCTCCAAATTTTACTCTCCTAATTTTTGTGTTTCATTTATCTCTCAACTCGGGTACCATTCCCTTAATGAAGGTTAACCTTCCACACTAAACCACTTCTTTTGGTATTATATTGTTATTTTGTATATTTTATACAGAGTACTTTAAATAATCAGTGCTTATACTTTTATTTATGTATTTATTTTATTAATATCAGTTCTTTTGAACAGAAGTTAAGCTCATAAGAACACGTCTTTTTTTATGTACTACCACACCCTCCTATGCCTAGCAC